AGTTGATGCCCCTGCGCGAGCGTCAGCGAGTGCGTGAGGAGGGGCAGCGAGTGGGTAAGGAGGGGCTGGAGAAAGAGAAACGCACTGCTTCGGGTAGTTAGGCCCGTTCCCGCGCGCCTCCATGATGTCGATTTCACCTGTGAGCAAACACGTTAGCGTCGGCGTCCCGCTTCGTACGGAGAGAAGGAAAAGACAAGCGAGGAGGGGAGGAGTCTCCCCTTCTCCTCACTCGCGAGCCCGGTACGCAGGCATCGCGAGCGAGCGTCGTCGGCGTCAACGTCGCGCGGCGAGCATCGCTTCGTCCAAAGAAAGAGAGCAAAGAAGGAGACTCACCGCTCAACGGCCACCCGCCGTACGTCTCGTCCACGGGCAACATCCAGATCGCGGGCCACAGCCAGTCGCCCGTCGGCAGCTTCGCGCGCACCTCCACGCGCCCGAACCTAGATGCGCGGGGAGCATGTCAGCGCCGTTCGTGTACTCGTGTATGCGAAAAAAGGGAGGGGAGGCCGGGCAAAGGCAGCCCGGCCGTCCGGCCGAAGGGCAGGCAGGGAGAGATGAAGAAGAGGAAGAAGGGCGGACAGGACGGGGAGGGAGCAAGAGCAAAAAAGAAAAGCGACTCACTTAACCCTCGCGCTCCTCCGCGTGCTGATCCGTGCGCTCATCACGGGGGGGAGGATCTTGCCGAGCGTGGCGTTGGAGACGGCGGAGCACGCGGCGAGGTACGCGGGGAGGTCGAGCGGCGCGTCGGGCGCTGGGAGGAGGGCGTTAGCGAGCACGTTCGGGCGTAGGCGAGCACGAAGGGATGAGGAAAACGAGAAGACGCACCCAACCCGCCGCCCGCGCTGCTCTCGCCCTCGGTCGTGTTGACGCCCGCGCTGCCGTGCCCCGAGGTCGTGTACCCCGTCGAGTGCGTGATGTTGTACGTGCACCCCGTGAGGTTGTACACCGCGCCGTCTGCGGAGGTGCGTCAGTAGGAGCATAAAAGGAATGGAGACGTAAGGACGCGCGAAAAAGGATGAAAAGTGCGGGGAAAGGACGGGAGGCGGAAGGGGGGAGGGCAGGGTCGCGGGAGGGAGGGAGATGTACGGACGGACGGTGGGGGTGCCGTTGGACGAAAGGCAGAAGGAGGGAGAGGACAGGGTGAGGAAGGAAGGCGGGAAGGGAGCCCGCGCGATGGGCGATATGCAAAGGAGGGGCGGAAAGGATACGTAGGGATGCAGATGAAGGCGAACGTCCCGGCACGCGGACACGCGAGGGAGAGGGTGTGCGAGTACGATGCACGCCTCCACAAGACGCAAAAAACGAAGCCGGACAGAAAGACGCACCCATGATCTGCGCCGTCGGGATGACGTCGCTCGTGAGCGTGGGCAGGAGGTACAGCTGCCCATCGCGCACGAACGCGTTCGCGTCGCTGGCGGTCGTCATCTCGAACTCGCCGTTCCTGGGGGGGGGTGAGTTAGTACGTGGAATACGAAGAAAGGAGGAAGGGAAGAGGGGGGAGGAGAAAGAGACGCAGAGGCGCAGAGGCCCGGAACGAAGGGACGGCGGGCCCCTCCTCGCCTCAAGCACTCCAGCGCCTCTTGCAAAACAAGCGCCCTTTGCCCCTTGCAAGCCCCCCCGCAAAACAAACGAAGCAAAAGAAACACCCACCCAAACCCGCTCGCGTCCACCTCGCGGAAGAACACGCCGCCGTCGCCGTCGCCGAAGAGCGTCGCGGTGTCGGTGTTGGAGAAGTCCTCGATGAGGACGGGGCAGAGGTTGTCCGTGAGCAGCATGACGCCGCGCCAGCCGGTCCAGATGCGCACGGCGCCTGCGGCGATGCCTGGAATAAAAGGATGAGCCTGCGGCGCATACAAGAGGCGCAACACCCACCGAAAAGGATCATCGCATACGTGATCCAGTACGCCAGCCGCCCGTGCGGGTCGCGCGTGCCGACCCACGGCTTCTCGAGGCGCGTCTTGAGCGTCGGGCGCCCGCCGATCCCCGTGTTTTTCTTCTTCAGCTCCTCCAGGTCCTCCGCGGAGACGGGCGCGGAGGGGACCAGCAGCGCGGTGCTCTTGGGGCGCTCGCGGCGCAGGCGCATGGAGCTGGTGGGCGGGGACGCGTAGATGGTGAGCGGGCGCGCGGGCGGGGAGGCAAAGGCCTCGCGCTTGCCGCCGGGGGTGCCCGGGGTGGTGGCGGAGAGGCCCGAGGGCCCGTTCGCGCCCGTCCCCGCGGACTGCGGGCGCAGGTTCCCCGTCGAGGGCCGGCTGCCCACCGCGTACGCAGAGACGGGGCGGTGGATGTCGACGAGCGAGTTGGCGCGGGTGCTGTCGGGCGAGGGGAACGGGTAGCCGTCGCCCTGGCCGCCGGCGGAGAAGGAGCGGACGCTCGCGGGCGGGGAGAAGGGGTTGCCGCCGGGGGTGGTGAGCGAGTCGGCGCGGAAGTGGGCGTGGTGGGTCGGGCTGGGGTGGGCCGGGGGGATGAGGAACGACAGCGAGCGCGGGGACGCGGGCTGGGTGTGCGTCGGCGCCGTCGGGCTCGGCGGCTCGGACGAGTCGCTGTTGTTGTTGCTCGACGACGCAAACGGCGCAGAGGGCGGCGGCAGCGCCACGAAGGACAGCGGCGCGGGGCGGGGGGCGCTCATTCTCTGCAATCAAGTCTGGTCTATGTTCGTTGGCGGACTTGAACTTGCGCGGGAGGGGATCCTTGTAAGAGGTATAAGAGCCGATTTAGTCCCTCCTTCTTCTTACCTGCTCATGCTTACGCCACCCAGCCCTGCCTCCCGTCCGATAGCGTGCCTATCAAGGGGTCCAGCCTGCCTGCCACCCTGCCATGAAGAAGGTTCGATCTTGCTGTCCAAGTGGTTGGCGTAAAGCGAAGAAGAGATTTGATTCCGATGCCGGTGCCATTTGCTTCCGCGCATGGAGATTCCTTACTCGGACAACACGAAATCCCGGGATTTGCTGATCCCAACCCCGGGATCCCCCTGTTAATCGCCCAATCGGGCGCGTCAAGCCCAATGGGGCGAGACGGTGTTATCCTCCCTGATCCCTATAATTAAAACACACACGGAGACGCTGATGCGACTAATCTCCGTGCGAATCGCCGGCTGTCACGCGCGCGTCGGGAACCGGTGTCGGGAAATCGCACGGGCTCGCGAACCGCCGCGTGCCGCGTGTCGTCGTGCGCCGTATAGCTTAGTTCAACTTGGGTGTATGTATGTATGCCGTCAGAAAAAAGACACCAAGGGGAAAAAAGGGTTTGCGGAGGGCCTAGGCCAGCCCGGAGTCGAGAACGTGCATACACGCATCTGGTGCTTACTTCCAGGTAAGGGCAGTGCTATCGATGTCATTACCGGGTCTAACCATAGGGCCCTCTGATCGACCCCGGGAATTGCCGCGGCATCTACACTAGCATCGCACGCCGGCCTCGTGGACCCGCCGCTCCGTCGGGCAGGCCGGACGTCTAGACTTTCGTCGCACTCCATGGTCAGTTACAAGCATGAGTATGACATGCGCGGCAGTATAGGTATAGTTAACTCGCGTGTGTTCGAAAGATGAGTGACGACGACACGGAAGGAGGGAAAGACGACCCTGACAGCTACAGCTACATGATCGAAAACGTCTCATCTCGTCTCTACTCCATGGTCAGTTACAAGCATGAGTATGACATGCGCAGCAGTATAGGTATAGTTAGCTCGTGGTGCCCACAAGATGAGTGAGTGACGACGACACGGAAGGAAGGAAAGACGACCCTGACATCTACATGATCGAAAACGTCCTATCGTACTCCATGGTCAGTTACAACTGTGAGTATGACATACACAGTATAGTTAGCCTGCAGTGCCCACAAGATGAATGGGTGACGACGACACGGAGGAAGGAAGGAGGGAGAGGTGAGTGACACTGACAGCTACAATCGAAAACGTCTACAGCATCGTTTTCGACTTTCGCTGGGCACTCCACAACTCGTCACCCCGTTAATAATAATAATAATAATAATAATAAAAAGAAATGGGGGCGAAACAGATTCCGCCATGACCTACATAGCCCGGAATCGAACCGGGGACTCCCACAACATGTATGGTAATACTATTTCCAGGTAAGAGCAGTGTTGTCATTGTTGGATTGCCTTGTTGATCGACCTCGTCATGCTCAATGTCCTTGGTGCATGACTCTGAGCCTCACCGTCACCCTCGACCCCTCAACGGTTGAGCATGAGGATGACAACAATTAGTTGCCAAATTAAAGCTGCGAAAAAGCGTGCGGTACCGATACCGATACCTTATTACCTATACCGATAGGATTATTGTCTGCACTCTAGACAAGAATACTTTGATGCATATGGACCAGGGCCGGTCGGTGCGATACCGATACCGATACGATTGTTGTCTGCGCTCTAGAATATGTTGATGGACCGTGGTCATTGACGGGGACACTGACAGGGGCTTAATACATTGACAGGGGTCAGTGCATTGACAGGTCGGCGCCATTGACCTTTTTTTACCTTTATTGGCCGACCCTGCAGGACGACACTGGACTGGAAGAGGGTGGGTGAGTCGTGCGCCGCTAGGTCCTCTCTCCAACCACCCTGCTCCTCTTCTGTGGTAGCGTATTTCTTGAATTTACAGAGCAATTGAGCCAAAAAACATTTTGGAAAGGGGCGAGTGACCTAGCCCGGAGTCGAACCGGGAGCTCCTGCTGCACATGCCGGATGCCGAGTAGTTACGGAGAGCAGGTATGAACCATTCACCACTAGGTCTCTTTTCAACTGGTTTCAACCTCTATTTATCCTATTTCTTGAATTGTAGAGTGAAGGAAAAAAATCCCAAGAACAGGCGGATGACCTAGCCCGGGGTCGAACCGGGGGCTCCTGCTTCAACTTGATGAAAGGAGGGTTAAGGAGAGCAGGTATGAGCCATTCACCACTAGGTCGTATTCCTACCCTGTTGGACCTTGATTTATGCTAGAGTATTTCCGGATTTACAGAGCAATAAAAGGACTTGCTGAGACAATACATGACCCAGCCCGGAGTCGAACCGGGGCCTCCTGCTGTGCACTCAAAAGACGAGCACTAAAGGAGAGCAGGTATGAACCATTCACCACTAGGTCTTCCTCCCTCCCTCTTGTGCCCTCCATTTATGCTAGAGTATTTTCCTGCTTTGGTAGATAAAAATGGCTCTTGGACATCCATGACCTAACCCGGAATCGAACCGAGGACTCCTGCAACCCTACTCTAACGGATCTCTGGTTAGGAAGGGCAGGTGTGAACCGTTCACCACTAGGTCTCTTTTCCACTACTTCCGACCTCTACTTGTGCCAGGGTATTTGCGAATTTGGAGAGCAAGACTGGAAAAAAAGTGAGAGCCCTCAAGCATGCCCTAGCCCGGAATCGAACCGGGAGCTCCTGCTTCAACGTGACGAGAGAAGTATTAAGGAGAGCAGGTGTGGTCCATTCACCACTAGGTCGTATTCCTATCCTGTTGGACCTTGATTTATGCTTGAGTATTTTTTTTTCAACTTACAGAGCAATGGGACAAAAGAGTCAGCGCGGCATGTATGACCTAGCCCGGAGTCGAGCCGGGAGCTCCCGCTGTACATCTCCAAAGAAGGCCCAAGGAGAGCAGGTGTGATTCCATTCACCACTAGGTCCTCCTCCCTCCCTCTTCTGCCCTTGATTTATGTCAGAGTATGTTCTGCTTAGTCTAGATTTAGTCGCGCATCAATGGTCGCGAGAACTGATTCCATTAAATCAACGCGTTCTGACCTCAAGGAAGTTACAAATGGGTCAGTCAGGAATAGTATCAGATATACATCCAATGATTCAGTCCTGTTCTTTTCAAACACAATGTCTTTGTACAGCGTGCAAAGGTGTTCAACGGCAGCAGATCAAATTATGTGCTGAGCTCCAGAATGGGCAATTAAAAATTCAGAAATATTTGAGAGTGCTCTCATGATATGAAACACCGACTTGGCTAGGCTTATGCGAGTATAGACGCCTCTGGAGAGCCATTGTGCAGACTCCCGCCCTAAAAATATTTTCCTTTTTAGGAAATGCCTTATCCGGAATTCGGCCTCGCGGCTTTTAGGGCGCGACTAAAATCAGACCTTTGAACAAGTTTTTTGCTCACTCTCTCTTAAAAAAAACTTTATTTTAAAGGTCTGACTTGGGAGACTATGTTCTGCTTGGCTGAGCAATAAAAAAGAGTGGGAGAAATCAAATAAGACCTAGCCCGGAGTCGAACCGAGAGCTCCTGCTGTACATCGATGTCCCAAGAAGGCCCAGGGAGAGCAGGTGTGATCCAGTCACCACTAGGTCTCTTTTCTACACCCTTGAACTTGAACTTATCGAAGAGTTTTCTGCAGTTCGAGAGTAATAAAATAATAAAAAAGAGTGTAGGCGATAAAGAATGACCTAGCCCGGAATCGAACCGGGAGATCCTGCTGTCCTATGGATACAGCGGCTTCGTAGAAAGAGCAGGTGTGATCCATTCACCACTAGGTCTGCTTTTCTACCTCCCGCTACCTGGATATACCACAGAGTATTTTCTGAATTAGAAGAGCAAAGAAAAAAATGTGGGAAAGCCAGACCAGTGACCTAGCCCGGAATCGAACCGGGGGCTCCTGCTTCAACATGACGAAAGGATTAAGGAGAGCAGGTGTGAACCATTCACCACTAGGTCTTCCTCCTTCCCTCTTCTGCCTATTTATGTTAAAGTATTTCTGATGAGCAGAGCAATAAAAAAAAGTTGGAGAGACTGCATGACCTAGCCCGGAATCGAACCGGGGGCTCCTGTACATTCTTGAAAAACAAGGTGGAGGAGAAGCAGGTGTCAGCCGTGCGCCACTAGGTCCTTACTTCCTCCCTCTTTCCACTTCTATTGCAGGTGTATTTTCGAATTGGCAGAAATAAATAAATAAATGCCCGCCACCGATAAGACCCAGCCCGGAATCGAACCGGGAGCTCCTGCTGTACATTCTTGAAGAACATGTCAAGGAGAGCAAGTGTGAGCTGGTCACTAGGTCGTATTCCCTAGCATTTGAACTTCAATTTATGCTAGAGTATTTCTGATGAGCAGAGCAAAGAAAAAAGAAAACAGCAAGATGTGCACTCGAGCATGACCTAGCCCGGAGTCGAACTGGGAGCTTCTGCTGCATGATATACACGACTATTCCAACGAGAGCATATGTGAGCCATTCACCACTAGGGCTCCTTTCCTACCGCCCTGTTCCTCTATTTGTGGCAGATAATTTTTTGTTCAGGTGCAAAGAAAAAGAGGAGGCGAGATGTGAATGACTCATGACCTAGCCCGGGATCGAACCGGGGCCTCCTGCTGTACGTGTCAAAAGAAGGCCCAAGGAGAGCAGGTGTGATCCATTTACCACTAGGTCTTCCTCCCTTCCTCTCGTGCCCTCAATTTATGCTAGAGTATTCACTGAATTGGTAGAGCAATAAAAAAGTTGGAGAGATGTTAAATGACCTAGCCCGGAATCGAACCGGGAGCTCCTGCTGTAATCTCGAACGTAAAAGGTCCAAGGAGAGCAGGTGTGATCCATCCACCACTAGGTCTCTTTTCCACTGCTTCCGACCTCTACTTGTTCCAGGGTATTTCCGGACTTGGAGCAAAACTGGAAAAAAAACTGAGAGCCCTCAAGCATGCCCTAGCCCGGAGTCGAACCGGGGGCTCCTGCTTCAACTTGACGAAAGAAGGGTTAAGGAGAGCAGGTGTGAACCATTCATCACTAGGTCTTACTTCAACTGGTTTCAACGTAAATTTATGCTCGAGTATTTTGCACTTTTGGGGCAGCGAAAAAAGTGGAAAGAGATGATGTATGACCTGGCCCGGAATCGAACCGGGGCTTTCTGCTTCAATTCGGTGACAGCAGAGTAAGGAGAGCAGGTGTGATCCATTCACCACTAGGTCTTACTCCCACTACTTATGATCTTGATTTATTGTACAATTTTTGCACAACTGCTTTCAACCTATTTCATGCGAGAGTGTTTCTGGACTTGCAGAGAAAGTTAAAAAGCTTGCAAAGACGCGGTCATGACCTAGCCCGGAATCGAACAAGGGCCTCCTGCTTTACATTCTAGAAGAACGATTCAAGGAGAGCAGATGTTATCCGTTCACCATTAGGTCGTATTCCTACCACTCTTACCCTCTGTTTCTGCAGGAGTATTTTGCAATCAAAAAAAGACATGAGGATGATACATGACCTAGCCCGGAATCGAACCGGAAGCTCCCACTGTACATGGCACAAGAACAAGGGGTAACGGGAGCAGGTGTGAGCCATTCACCACTAGGTCTTATTCCTCCCTCTTCTGCCCCCAATTTATGCAGGAGTATCTTCTGCTTGCCTGAGCAATAATAAAAAGTTGGGGAGATGCTGCATGACCTAGCCCGGAGTCGAACCGGGGTCTCCTGTTGTACTAGTTCTACAACAACTTTGTAGAAAGAACCGGTGTGATCCATTCACCACTAGGGCTTGTTTCCTACCCTTCTCAACTTTAATTTTTGCTAGACTATTGTCTGCTTGACTGAGCAATAAAAAAAGTTGGGGAGATGTTGCATGACCTAGCCCGGAGTCGAACCGGGGGCTCCTGCTGTACGTTAGAAGAAGCATGATGGAGAGCAGATGTAATCCATTCACCACTAGGTCATATTCCTATGCTGCTGAACTTCAATTTATGGTAGAGTATTTCTGATGAGCAGAGCAATGAATAAAAAAAATGAAGATGCGTCTATGACCTAACCGGAATCGAACCGGAACCTCCTGCTGCATGATCTAGGATTATTTCCAAAGAGAAGCAAATGTGATCCATTCACCACTAGGTCTCTTTTCTGTTGTAGTTTCTTAAGGAATCAGACAGTGTTTAGGGTAAGAATCCAAGATGATAATTAGCAGTTGGCTGAGCTCTGCAAATGCTTGAGCAATACATAGGATCTGCAGCTGCTTACATACTAAATTGACCAATGTAACTAGAATGTTCCATAATATTCTCCCATGTTCTCCTGCGTTCTCTCACTGACTCCGCACGACTTGTTACCTCGGCCATGATGCCGGGTTGCCTTTTATGGCACTAACTCCAGCATTTTCAACTGCTTCCAACCTATACTTATGCCAGGGTATTTCCGGACTTGGAGCAATAAAAAAATTCCATCGTCGCAACCATGACCTAACCCGGAATCGAACCGGAGCCCCTGATGTACACCAGAAGAATGATGGAGAGCAGGTGTGGTCACCACAGGTCTTCCTCCCTCCCTCTTCTGCCCTATTTATGCTAGAGTGTTTTCCTGCTTTGGTAGAACAAAGAAAACATTCGTCAAAGAGCCGAATGACCTACCCCCAATTGAACGGGGAGCTCATGCTTCATTCTCTTTCCGTGACGCTACACCGAGAATGAATGATCCATCACCACTGGGATCGGGGATCTCACGCTCGGCCTCGTGAGAGCGCCACTCCGAGTTGCGCTGCGTGTACGTAGTTTGGTTAGTTCGCGGTGAGAGCGAGATAAAAATAAAAACAAAGCACGGCGGACAAACGGAAAGACAGGAAGAACGGAAAGATAGCAGGTGTCGCACTGCGTGTACGTAGTTTGGTCAGTTCGCGGTGAGAGCGGAATAAAGCATGGCGGGCAAACGGAAAGACAGGAAGAACGGAAAGACAGCGGTGTCTCGCTGCATGTACGTACTTCGGTCAGTTCGCGGTGAGAGCGAAAAAATAAATAAAGCACGGACGAACGGAAGAAGGGAAAGGGCATGGAGAACGAGAACGAAGAAAAAGAAAGGCTGTTGATACGACAAATGACCTAGCCCGGAGTCGAACCGGGGCCTCCCACAAGAGTCGTGTGGTAAGAGTGGTGGGTGTGAGCCATGCACCACTAGGTCTCCTTTCAAACCATATTTAAGCCATCCTGTTTTCTTAATTCATGTAGACCACAGAGGAAAAAGTGAAGGAGACGCTGCATGACCCAGCCGGAATCGAACCGGGGCTTTCTGCTTCAATGTGACGAAAGAGATGTCAACGAGAGCGGGTCTGCTTTCCTGTGTCCTGTAGCCTGTATTCATGTTCGAGTATTTCCTGCTTTGGCAGAGCAAAGAGTTCAGAGAATGAAGCAGGAGCTGGTCGACGTCCCGGATCGACCTTGACGCTGCAAGGAGAATGATCCATCGGGAATCCCACGTCGGGGCTCGTGGAAATGCCGCTCGGGCAGGCCGGGCGTCTCGTGTTCCCAGTGAGTATCTATATCTCGTCGTCCTAGCGAGTATCGATACAAGAAAATTAAAGACGTGAGTGTCAGTGTCTCGAGACAAACCTGATAACCGAGTCCGACGCTCCAATGAGGGCATTCAGCCCACGGCTCCACCGTGGTAAGTAAGTAGGTAGGTATTGATCCACCGCGACGTCAGGATTCCATCTCAACTGTCAAGTATGTTCATTTTAAGACCCTGTAGGGGAGCAACCGTGACACGGCCGTTGCCTCTTTCCCAGGCATTGGCAACGGGCCCCACGGAGCGCGACTGTTGCTCGAACTTCAAAGAAGCAACATGTCGAACAATCACTACATTTATTTTGCCATTATCAGCTGTTTTTAGCAGTCAGCTAATATCTGCTGTTGAATTTAATACACCCCAGGAGTGGAATTCCACGATCCAAAGCAATTTCCAAGCCCTAGACATGTTCCGACTTTTTTTCGAACCATGTCACGACTTTTTTGAAGCACCGACGCACAACGTATCAATGACCCGACAGAAAAAAGGCTAACGCAACGGGTCTCCAGTGACCGTGACCGCTGCTCCCGTACGTACAGGGTGACAGCCTCGTACAGTACTTCGACTCACTATTGGAGCTTATTGGCACTTTTGAACCAAGATTTCAAAGCACTCCCATTGGCTGCAGTTGTGGAGCAACCGATCAGATCGTTCAGAGTCAGTACAAATTTAAAGATGGTTTGACACCGTTTACCATGCTTGGCTCTTTGTATGTTAGTACAACATGTACGGAATTATGCCCGGTGTCAATGGGGTAACCTGCACTTCAAAGGCAAGTATGCTAAACTTACCAAGGCAGTCAGTTTAAACTGGGTATGTAAATCAAAGGAGGGTCGGCCGTCTTGGTCATCCACTCATGCCGGGCCAAACATTCCACACACCACAGAATTCAACTGATCTTTGCTCTAACATATGTAGGTGCTACCGCGCATCGGCTCGCCTTACAGTGATTAATTGACCTCTGTTCTTGCTTAATATATATATATATACCTCCCTGCCTGAATTTACAGCGTGGAATTCCGGAGCTGTTAGCTTGTTATGTCTATGAGGCTGTGACGAGCGACGGGTTGAAATCCCGAGGGATAAAAAATATCTGCTACTCAATTGGTCTCCTCTCAGTAACCGTGGTGTACCACGGGCACACTGCTAGTAAGCATTGAAGCCCGTATAGCTAGCGCACGGTGTCCAAAAAGAATTAAGGAGATGGGGAACGCAAAAAAGGAAAAGAAAATAGCTGTCGATACGCCATGACCTGGCCCGGACTTGAACTTGCAAATGATTAGGAAAAAATGTAAAAGGAGCCTCAAGCATGACCTAGCCCGGAATTGAACCGGGACCTCCTACTGCAATTTATCGCAGACCTCCAGCTAAAGACAAGCAGGTGTACCACTAGGTCTTCCTTCCTACACCCTCATCCTATATTTATGCTAGAGTATTATTTCTGAATTGCGAGCAGAAAAAGGAAGAGAGGATGTGCACATAACCTAGCCCGGAGTCGAACCGGGGTCTCCTGCTGCAGGCTTGTCTAGGAAGCTTTAAGAGAAGGAGGCATGATCTGTTCACCACTCGGTCTCATTTCTACCCTCCCACTGTTGATTTACCCTCAGCTTTTGCTCTTCGAGAGCAAAGAGAGAAAAAGGGGGGTGATGCGTGCATGACCCAGCCCGGAATCGAACTGGGGCCTTCTGCAGTACTACCACAATCTCTGAGGCAAGAAGAGCAGATGTGATCCATTCACCACTAGGTCTTTTTCCACTGGGTCTTCCTTCTTACATTGTGTAACCCCAATTTACCCTCTAAATTTTCTCTTCGAGCGTGAAGAAAAAAACACTATACGAAGATGCATGATGATCCATTCATCACGAGCTCCCAGGACTTCCGAGACCCGGCTTCTGAATCTGTGTGGAAGAAATCGGATTTCTCCGAGATTCCTCATTAGCCAGTCAATATACGATGCCTTAGTCTTGAACCACAAGCTCCCAAACCTATGACATGCAAATTTCTGAAACAAAGTGACTGTGATGTCAATTACCACTCCACCTTCAATCGCTACCTTCCTGTGCGTTCAATCCAACTGGAATAAAATCCCAGATGTGCATGTATTGAGTTCAAGCTCATCCCGTGTCGTTGTGTGGCAAAATTTTATGCAGATTCTAGGCGCATTCGAGGTGTTTCGATTCGCTCTTGCTTCGTCGAACATCAGCGATCCGGGATTGACCGAACAGCACATCGGGATTCTCCAAACCTGCGCAAACAGTGTACGGCTTCTTCCATCTCCCACGTCCTTGTAGCAACAATGAGGCCTGTTATACGCTGTAAGTCAACACACAGCTGCTCTTGAACTTTCGCTGGTATGTTACAGCCACCAAGATGGCTGCCGGTGATCTGACACCGCGCTGTGCCACCCGGCGGCGTGAAGATACAACTTTCCGAAGGACTTGAAGTACGCTCATACTGGTTGTGATCTGCAGAGAGCCAATTGCTTCTCACCACGCTTAGATAAGTTTACAATTTGGAACCCGATTCGGATTTGGACCCTGCCAGAACCGCTGCCCTTCATCTTATACTTTGAACAGGTCTCTCTTGTGATTATTATCAGCGATTTTGTGCACCCTCGTATCAATCCGAGTCAACATCCGAATCCAATTCGAATACATCCGGAACCAACTCGAATATTCCGCATAGCAGGGGATAGATCCAAACCCACGTCCCGCAAACCATTTCCTTCCATTTCAAATTCTTTGACAATTCGAGAATTCCAAAATGGCCCGGCAATAAGAAGCCTACTAATGAAGACGACTCGCACGCAGACAGCGAGCTCATCTCTGCATCCAAGCTGTACGGAGTGACGACTTCGAGACTCTAATGTGCATTCGTATGTTGCGTTATTTCAATTTGCGGCGGTGTTTCGATCCCCTCCGTTGCACTCGTCGTCGAGAAGTCCCAATTTATCGTCCCACTGATGCCATCCTGAATTTAAGCGCTTCTTCGCCTTCTCTATCTCTCCCAGAGTATATATAGACTCTCGATGCTCGCCAACCTCCGCCGTGCGTACCATCTTTTTTTCCGCTGTTCCATCTGGTTATTTATATTTACCGTGTACGCATCGCCTCCCATCTCCTCATCCTTAATGCTGAATATCCGCATTCCGGCTTGCAAGAACTCGGAGATTTCGGATGAGTCCGAACCTTCATCGGCTGCTCCTGGCGCGCGCCGCGAAAAGACTGGGATCGTGAGTCGCATCTAAAAAGCTGGCCACATACATCAGCGACGTTTCCACTTAGAACTGTACTCAAAGCCGCTTGCTAGATGTGATTTCAGGCGCCTGCTGGTGCGGAAGCCTTGTTCCGCGAACCATCCGGTGCGTTACGCGTTGATTTCAACTTGTAGAATCGCAGAATTGGCCGCTAGAAGCCGTTAGCGCCCGGCAAACCACTAGAATCAACTCGGCCCGACTCGCTTCTTGGTTCCCACTCCACAACCACGCACCTTGAAAGTAGGCGATATCATAGTTCGCCCTGGTGTCCCTGCCGAGTGGCAGCGTTTAACGTTATCTGCCAGTGGTCGGGTTATATTAGTTCGCAGGGTGAGCCTTCCCTTTTGCGTCCGATTGCTCGCTGGTCTTGGTCTGCTCTTATTCACACGTGGAGGAGGATGGGCTTCTGGTCGGGGGTCCCGGTTTGCAATCCGGTCGTAGAGATTGAGTTCTACCGAGTTGGGAATAAAGGATAGAAGGACTCAGAGTGAGAGATGGAAGGGCTCATCATCGCTGGTGGGTTCAATTGCTGCCAGGACTGTGATGTGCTGCACTTCCTCATTGAATTTCAGAAGTCACCGTCTCCGATACCGATACGCCCCAGCGGGCGCCGCTGATACGCCAATCTAAATACCTTGAGGACAGATATTGGCTGTTCGGCCACTTCGGCGACGCCTGCGTTTGGCCTGCGTCACTGTAGCCCCAAGATTCCGCTGTTTATGCGCCTCGTATTGAATGCGGTTTCGAAAATACTCAAATTGCGTTACGTGCTAACTTATATTCCGCAAGGTACGGTGCTGGCACGCCAGGTACGATACGCAGTGTCGTATCATACCTTTGTTTCTAATGTAGCATCTTATCATCTGTCATAGAGAACGAACGAAGTGGTCAATAAGAATAACTGGGCGTTCTCTTTGATTTACCACTCATCATCCTATCCGCCGCCCATCACCCTCGGACTGCTCAGTGTTGTAGGATATTGGGTGTCCAGCCTTGAATGCTGTAACAAAACAACGAACACTTGGCACGCCACATGTATGTTTTCAAATTTAGGTCGATCTCTACAACATATAGCTACGCAATTGTGCGTCTTTCTTGCCTCCATTTCGACAGGCTCCTCTCCTCCCCCGGCTGTACGCTCCAGTTCAACAGTTGCCCGTCGGGTCAATTCGAAGCAACCACCCGACGTGAACATGGATCCGACCCGTACTTCTCCAACCTGCTGCTCGGATGGTTCCTGCCTGACCATTGTGCATCTTTCTTGACTCCATTTCGACTGGCTCCTCTCCTCCCCCGGCTGTACGCTCCAGTTCAACAGTTGCCAGTCGGGTCAATTCGATGCAAACACCCACGTCAACGTGGATCCGACGCATACTTTTTCGACTTGCTGTTCGGACGGTTCCTGACTGAAGCATGCTGTCCAATATAGTCAACGATGGCAAACGCGGCCACTATTTTCTGCGCGATTTAAATTTAACTTGCGGCTCCGAAGTACCCGCTGGATAAATCAGGAGCAGCTACTTCAGCGGGAATAAGGAGCGGGACTGACTCAAATTCACGGCGATGAGTAACCAGTCGACGTGCGTCAAATCAACATTTTTCCAGTCCTCGGAGAATCGTCGGACACATACAGATGCGTTTTTCGGATTTACTTCAACTGTGCATGTGGTTAGCTCTGATTCCGCTGCAGCTGAGACTTCGAGGCCTTCCGACGGGTCCCTGACTCCCTATGCGCTCGTCAAGTATTAACACCGCCCGACTCCACTTCGATAGGCGCGCGATGGGGAGCATCGGCGCGTCATCGTCTATTTCGGCGGCTGCCTCGTAACTCTCTCCCTTCACCTGTTCGGTGACTTTAAACCTGCCATAAATCGGTGGCTTTCAATTTCAAACACTCTCAGATCCACTTCAACTGTTGCGGGTCATTTCAACACCGAGCTCATCGTGTCCAAAATTGTCTCATGGGAGGTCTCGCGTGCGAGTCTAGGCCTCCCCGGCGACTCAAGGAAAATCAGGCCCAGATGACAGGAGGCATTATCGGGAGCTCAAGATAATATTATCTATCGTCCTTGAGGTTGACAGGATCAAATCAAGAGAGGGAGAGCAGATAAGCAATGCAAATAACTCGACCGACCGCAGTCAGTTACAATCAGAACTTTTCGCAGGCAATCTGTCAGTTATTTCGAGGGTGGCGGACGGACTCGCATGCATTCCTCTCTGGTAAATCCACCCTATCCTTGGCTTCAGCTCCCAGCGTGCCACCATCCGCGATCACGGAGGAAGGAAGACACGTTCCGGGTGCCGGTGCTGATAGGTGGTCGCCGCGCGCGCTTCTTGATCTCGGACACCCCGGTCCTTCCCAGGCCTTCCCGCTACCAGCATCGGCCTCCCACGCCGCGATGATCGACAGATTCAGGTGGGATTGCTGCCATTGGATCCAAACCCAGGAAGGAATCCCGCGCGCCGAGCGGCGTGACATGGCACGCCCAGTGAATCGGAGTCGGCTGAGGAGGATTCGAATTTCGGAGACGCGAGTGGATTGACTGATAGGTACGTTCGTACCTGCCCTTGTTATCTGTATTGCATTACCCCTGGGTATTCGGACGCGAGGCGCGGTCATACTTACGAACGTTCCTAGCGCTGGCAATTGACGCTGCGTAATTTTTTTTTTCCGCCCTGGAGGCGGACATGACGTGTGAAGGCAGTGTAAGTCGGTTTTGCGAAGGCAGTGTAAGTCGATTTTGCGTCAGCCGAATTAAAAATAGCGAGGCGCCTGCGTCCGAATCGGGTGGCGTATGCGCATCACTTGGATTTCGTTTACTCGTTGTTTTTTTTCTGCGAAAACAAAAAGCCGGTGGTTGCTGCGTGGTGCGATCTAGGGGTTAAAGCGGGTAGATAGAAACCCGATTTGGTCTAGTCTGTTCGATCGGCGAATTGCTGTCCTCGGCATCAAAAATTAAAGAGCGGAGGTATAATATGTATCAGTGATGAACGCACGTTTGGAGGTTGATATATTTTTGCTCATTCGGGGAGAGAAAACTAGATACGTTCCTGGCGGGGTTTGTTGTACGAAAAATTTGTGGCGTGGGGATTGAAAAGGGTTGTGAAGCTAAATCAATGATGCAGTTAAAACGTATCGTAGGTTGCGAATTTATCGCACCGTGCGTTAGTTGGAGATAAGAGCAGGGGCTGTGCGTTCAGGGAAGAACACACGCGGGTTTTTTGTTTCATTCGGAGCAAGCAGTGTGTCAGTCAGACCACAACGGCAAGTTGTAATGCCGTGCAGGGACGTACCAACGAGGGGTTGCCATTATCTTTGTTCTGGCGGCCTGAGGCGGCGATTTTGCGCCCAGTCGGGCAAAAGGATGTTGGCCAGCGAGCATCATGTCGCGATACATGGCGACCGCCACAGTTAATTTTAATTTCGTAGGCGAGATAAGAGGTATTTCGTTAATTCGGAAATACAGCATGTAATGCAGCAAGAGAACAGC